CATTGTTTATAGTAACACAGGGATTTACTGTCGCCAGTCAGGGCCAGAAACCGTTGCCCACGCTGTCTGGTCCTGGGCTGCCTTTGGATTGCCTGGGATTGGAACAGCAACGTTAGCATAGTGGTCCTTAGTAACTGAATTTTCCAAAGAGGGTTGAGGAAGGGGCCTTTTGAAACCTGCTTTTTTTAGCCGGCATATAATTTCAATAATTTTAATTATAATAATTTCCTCTTATAAATACCTCTAAGATATTTCTCTGTTGATATTTGAAAGTAGCCTTATAGTTTTAGCCTTTTTTTTTTTAAATTGAAGTTTGGTTGATTTACAATGTTGTGTTAGTTTCAGATGTACAGCAAAGTGATTCAGATATATATATATATCTATATATGTATATATATTCTTTTTCAGATTCTTTCCCATGATAGATTATTACACGATACTGAACATAGTTCCCTGTGCTATACAGTAGGACCTTGTTGTTTATCTTTTTTATATATGATAATGTGTATATATTAATCCCAAACTCCTAATTTATCCCCTCCCACCTTTCCCTTTTGATAACCATAAGTTCAGTTTTTATGTCTGTGAGTCTATTTCTGTTTTATAAATAAGCTAATTTTTAGCATTTTTTTTGATTCCACATAAGTGATATCATGTGATATTTGTCTTTGTCTGACTTACTTCACTTAGTATGATAACCTTTAGGTCCATCCATGTTGCTGCAGATGGCATTATTTCATTCCTTTTTTATGGCTGAGTAATATTCCATGGTATAGATGTACCACATCTTCTTTATCCAGTCATCTGCTGATGGACACTTAGGTTGCTCCCACGTCTTGGCTGTGGTAAATAGTGCTGCTGTGAACATTGGGAGGTGCATGTATCTTTTTTAATTAGAGTTTTCTCTGGATATATGCCCGGGCATGGGATTGCTGGATTATATGGTAGCTCTATTTTTAGTTTTTTTTTCTTAAGGAACCTCCATACTGTCCTCCACAGTGGTTGAACCAATTTACATTTCCACAACAGTGTAGGAAAGTTCCTTTTTCTCCACACCCTCTCCATCATATATTATTTGTAGACCTTTCTGATGGCCATTCTGACTGGTGTGAGGTGTCACCTCATTGTGGTTTTGATTTGCATTTCTCTACAATTATTAGTGATGTTGAGCATGGTTTCATGGGCCTGCTGGCCGTCTGTATGTCTTCTTCAGAGAAATGTCTATTTAGGTTTTATGCCCATTTTTTTATTGGATTGTTTGTGGGTTTTTTTTTGTGATACTCAATTTTAGCCTTTTAATATTTTAAAATTGAAAGTGTGAGACATACCCTCAAATTTAAAAACAAATCCTTACTCTTTATTTATTTTTATTTTAATTTTTTAATTGAAGTGTAGTTGGCTTACAGTGTTGTGTTAGTTTCTGGTGAAATCCTTATATTTTAAAATGAATCTTCTTCTCACTGTTTATTTCATGGCTTCTTCACAGACAAGGGCCCTACATTCCTTCTATTTTATGACCACATTGTATAAATAGAATGGAATAACAAAATATTCATGGAAACGTTTTAAATTACCCTACATACGTATTTGGATAATCTTTAGCATATTTTAGTAATAACTGTTAAAATCCATTTTTTGTAACCTGAAAAAATTAACAGAGCATCCAAATTTCACAACGTGAGACAGTAGAAATTAATATCTTATTATTAAAAAATAGAGTAAAATAGGAATACAAATAAAAATAAGAATACAAATAACCAAACAGTCATGTATAGAAGGGAAAGGAACAGGTTAGTTCCATCTTTGGAGGGGGCACTCAATAAATACTTGTGAGTGGAATTAAGAATGATAACGTGATATGTTCCCTTACTGCCTCTCAGCGTAGACCAGCTGACTGGCGTAATCAAGCCCTGGACTGGAAGCCAAGTCTCTTGGAACCAACATCCCTGTTTCCTGGAACAGACTCGTTCTTGGAGGCAAGAGACGCTTGCACATGGTTCTGACTTCCCATTAGAGGGAAACTCAGGGTGTCCACTTGAAAACGCCTTTCTCAGGAGAGAGTGAAGTTACAGAAACTACAAGAGCAGACGTTCACGGAGGAAGGAAGGGTTTCCCAGGAGTGTCGGCCGAGGCGCAGAGGAAAGGACCCGCATCCCGGGGGCTTGCTCTCCAGCCAGAGGGATGGGAGAATCGGAGGGGGGGGGTCGGAGCGGTGTGTGTGGACTCCCCTTTCAAGAAGCCTGACTCAGGAAAGACAGATGGATTCCTGGTGGTGAGGTATCCACGGGCTTCTGTTTGTTTGATTTTGAGATCTTGAGATGGGTCTGTGTTTTCACTCTGAGCAAAATGAACTTGTGCAGATACAGTTTAAAAATATCAGCCAGAACGGGGATAATTGATGCAGGGAAGTCCCAGAGGAGGGAAGAGGGCACGGGATGGAGCGCGTATCTGGATGGACTAACCTTGGACGGGAGGGGACCCACCCTTCCTCTGAACTAGAGGGCCAAGAGGAAAGGGTGGGCACAAATGGGGTGAATTTGTAGGTGAAGAAAGCCAGGAAATTAGGAGGGTTCAGGCCTGATGACCTTTATTATCTCTGAGACATGCAAAGCAAACTTATTTACAGAGCAAAGGAAATGTGGGTGTGGGATTGGGTTCTGAAATAGTGCAGGAGGGGAATGACAATAAACTTGACAGTCAGTGTGGGAGACCCGCCCGATGTTGGACATCACAGACTGTATCGGGGGCAGTTCTCTATCCAGGTAGAGGAGGAGAGAATTCTGGCAAATTGCTGCATCGCTCCATCACTGCAGAGGGGAGGGCATGGGGCGGATTAGGGAATCGAGAATGGTTGAGGAGATGTCATTCAGGCAGGAAGGGGGAGAGACGAAGCCAAGAGGGACCCGCGGGGGGCTTGGCTTCCCCAGCTCAGTGAGTGGAAAGAGAGAGGAAAGAGGAGAGGGCTGGATGGATGAGCCGCTACGGTCAGAGGGGACGGCCTTTGGAGTTGCAGTTCTCAGAGTGAAAACAGATCCAAGGTGTGTTCTCAGGACTGGTTGGCTGAGGGGGAATGGAGCTGAGAGGCACTGACTGAAGGGTAAAGAGAGACCGGGGAGGGGACAGGTCACCCACGTGGATGTCGAAGTCCTCCAGAGTGACGGCCGGAGGTGATGACTGCAGGGAGTGACCAGTGGTCAGTAAATGACAAGCAGAGCAGATCAGCATCAGAGGAAGATGGTCCACTCAGAGGAGGATGGCCCTGTGCTTGAGAGTCTGAGTACCCACTTGAAGGTTCGCAGTCCTGTCTCTGAGGGAGACTGTGCAGTGTCCCTTCAAAAGGCATGGGAGGCCTGTGACCCCGAGCACACCTGAGGGCTTGGCATAGACCAGGAGGTGATGGAGAGCTTGTCAAAGACATGGCATCGTCCTGTTTCAGAAGGCACAGTGGAAGATGAGAGGAGACTAGAGTTAGAAGTGGAAAAATGCAGAGCTGTGTGGGGCCGAGTTCTAGGACAGGAAACTGACCAGAGAGCTAGCATGTTGGGTGGCGGTGAACGATGGCAAAAGGGGGAGGTCAGAAGTTGCCTGGTTCCTGGGGGATGCTTGGCACCAGGTTGTGTGGTCACCTGGACTGCTGTAGGATTTTAGGGGCTGGGATATGCAGAGTGTCAGCTACACTTTCTTTTGGGAGTAGTTGTAACGTCTTCATTCAAAAATTTGACACGGAAGGAAAGGAAAGAGATGGAGCAATAGCTGGAGTTGGTGGCAAGATAGTTTTGCCCATAAAGCAAAGAATTTTATAGTTAGATACAAATATAGGAGGAGCCAGTAATAAAGTGCTGCTTTATGTGGAAACTGGATCGGGTGCTGTGTGGCATTCTGATTAAGAGTGATAAGGGTGATTTTCCCTGAATTACGATGCACTGTGCCCTGGGCTAAGGTTTTTGCTTGATTAAGTCTTATCTTCGACCCCATCACTTTTACCCTCCCCTCTGGACAGAGGAGGAGGCTGAAGGACACAGAGGTTAAGGAAACTAGCTCAAGGCTAAAAAGTGAGTCAGGATCCAAACCCAGCGTCCAATGCGAGTGCTCCCCTGAGCCACTACGTTACGTGGCCTTACAGCGTTCAGATGTGTACTCTTCGGAGTTACGATCTGACAAGAGACGCAGGAAGCGAGAACAGACGCCAACTGTAGGCACAGACATCGTGGTTGAACCAGCGCAACAGAGGGTCCTTCCCGTAAAGACCGGGCAGAGGGCTCTGCCTGCAGGTCCAGGCTTTACCGCTCAGGAATACATTCCCCTAAGACATTCTTTTCTTTTTCTCTAACTACAGAAAATTCATTTTCTGTTTTTAGAACCTATCTCAGGAATTGCAAACACTTGGGAAATAAAGTCTTGATTATCTTGAACTGGTTGGCTCATTTTAGGTTATTACGTTTATTTCCTTTCTGATGCCTTTTTCACCCAGTACGTTTCCCGGTTGGTTCACGTGGAGAGAAACAGGGATGTGAACATGGTGGCTGACAGCTCTTCTAGCTCCTTGTAGGTCATTCTCCAAAATTCATGTGGAAGCGGGAAAGGCGAATGGTAACAAGGGTGGTTTATCTGATGTTATAAATTGTCTCTGTCCTCCTTTGTCCTAGACCATTGAAACTTGGCTAAAAAGTGGAAATCAGATTGCACTGAGAATTTTTAAAATCAAGGATACTTAATATCATATTCTGTTTAAAGTCTCAAATTCTTTGGAACACTTTATATATGAAATCTGCAACGAATGGTGTAGGATGCTCTAAAATAGACAGCTACGGACAGCATTTTCTTATTTATTTAAGAATAAAAAGTGATTGTAGAACTATTGCCGGTGGTAATCAGGGAATGTTGTTCTGATTTTGGTGGTCTTTACATATGAAATCACAAACTCATTTTTCTGAGTTAATAACATTTTTTCAACTTTGGCAAAATCTTTATAGCAATGACCTAGAAATGCCAAAAGTGAAAATGGAAGGCTTTGGGCATGTGATGAATAATTTTCATTCAGAAATACCCTCCAAGTTTTTATATTGCAGTATTATATGATTATATATATATAACTATATGATTTGATATACACATATATGTATGTAGCACAGTGGGTGAAACCTGACCTAGCAAGGTGAAGTTAGAACGGATTCTTGGAAATGTCCGGGAACATATATAATACTTGCTTGTGCTGGCTTCTGTTACAACTTTAATTGCCTTTAGTAGACATTGTTCTGGTTACTAATAAAAAGGTCGTTATAGAGAAAGACAAATACTGTAAGATATTACTTACATGTGGAATCTAAAAACATACAACCAGTGAATGTAACAGAAAAGAAACAGACTCACAGAGGTAGAGAAGGAGCTAATGGTTGTCAGTGGGGAGAGGGAAGGGGAGGAGCAAGATGGGGGTGGAGGATTAAGAGGCACAAACTATCAGGTATAAGGTAAGCTACAAGGGTGTGTTGTGCACTGTGGGGAATACAGCCAGTATTTTATAATAACTATAAGTGGAGTATAACATTTAAAAATTGGTAAATCACTATGTTGTACACCTGTAACATAATATTGTGCATCAACTATAGTTTAAAAATACGATATTGTAAAATAAATACATAAATAAATAAAAAACTGGTTGAAGATTTAAAAAATTAAAAAAGTGAAAAGGTCATTTATTCCCTAAGAAGGACATTTGGGTGAACTTTTTGAGTAAAAGCTACATATTGAAAATATTTAAAAGTGTTACAGTTGTGGTTTATGCTCTATACATTTCAGATAGGAAAAGAACACGTAGGCCTGAAGGCTGTGACTGAAATCCTCCAAGACATCCAGTATAAGGTAGGTCATCATTTAAAAGAAAATAAAGGTACAGGTTGTGTAAGGGCTTTCCAAGTTTGCCATCAGGCTTAAGGACTCACGAGAAGGGCTCAGAGACAAGCTGCCATTCCCCTGGTTGTGGTTTATTCCAGTGGAGGGACCTAGATCAGAAGTCAGCACAGTGAAAACGGTGGATGCCCAGTCTTGAAGACAGGTGTTTTTTTTTTTGGATTGTGCAGGATTTGAGCAATCCAGGCCTGCTGAGTTAACCCTTTCCACCCATTGGTTGTAAGAAAGTAGTGTAAATGAAACAAAAATTGTGGCAATCACACTTTGAAGTGTTTATGTAAAAAGGAAAAAGGGCAAGTCCACATAAGCCGTAAGACAGTATATCCCGGAGAGGGTGATGTGGGTTGACTGGACCCTGTAGTGAGGTCCATCATCAGCCTGGCGATGTAGGGAACCAAGTTCTATCACGAACAGTGCCTTGTACGCTCACCTCGAGTCAGTAGAATCCGAGTGGCTTTGGAGGAGGGAGTAGTTCAGTCCTGCATGGCTGCCGGAACAGCTTGGGGACCCCAAGACCCAAGGCACAATCCTAAAGTCCATCTGGGAATGAAGTCTGATTAGCGCTACACCAGCGTGAGCCCCAAGCGTCTTGACCTGGGTGAGAACCTCTGCAGAAGGCGCCCTGAGCAGGCTCACAGGGAATGCAGCTCCCAAGGGAAAGCACGGACTGGCCACAGAAGCTGGTAAAAAAGGGGACAAGGACACATTTTCACTGACATTTGTCCGATAGAAATACATGGAGAAGTTTTCCTCTGTTGCTTCAGCTGATCCGTGTGACGTCAGTCACTGTGGACGACAGGAGGGTGGTGGGAGGCAAGTATGTTGCATTCTTTCATGTGTCCAGTCGTCCCGAGAAGTAAGGAAGATGCTAAGAGGTTATGCATTATTCTTCCCTGTTACGTCTGTGTTAATAGGGCGACCTTGTAGGAGACGTCCACCTGCCATGGTACATCCGGGTCCTGACAATTTAAATGGGACTCTTTCAACCATTGGCCAGAAGTGTGAATTGTTGAATAACGGCATACATATTTTATTGAAATTTAAATCTAGTTTTGGTCAATGTATGTTGAAATTAATATTTTCATTTGAGTGCCAGTCCTCTCTCTCGGGGAGAGGAGAGCATGTAGACCAGAGCCTGGAGCTGAGCTCCCGAACCCACTCGGGGTGAACGAGAACTTGGGAGGCAGCTTGTGCTGCCGAGAAGGTTAGGGACTGAGATCCGAGAACCGGGAGGAAAGTCGCTGCAGAAGAACTCCCTGAGCCAAGGCCCGGGTCTCCGGTCGGGGTGTGCCCGCGGCAGGAAAGGTAGTGACATGGGACAGACAAACATGGGGCAGTTTTAAGTTTCACACCAGGGACTGCAGGGCAGTTTGAGCTGCCACAGCAAAGAAAGCCGCGACAGACTCGGAGCAGGGCTGTCTTGTTGGAACCGGCCACGGTGGCTCCGACGGGGAGACATTGATTGACACACCACACATCCATGGGTTCTGATACCGCCATCCAGAAATGACTTCAACCTGGAGTTTTAGTGATAATGAAATTTTTTATTCTAAAATTTAGAGATTTATGTTAATCTTATGGGGTAACTTTTATTTTTTCTTCAATTTTTCAGGGGAAGTCCAAAATAATACCCTGCTTTAATCCTAACACTTTATTACCAGGTAAGCATTTACCAGGTTGCCTGAGATGCGTTTTGACTGTGGCTGTGCCTGCTTTGTTTTCCTCAGAAGATGCACAGCTATGTGGTATCAGTTAGTAAAGTTTCTTTACAGTTTGTATTCTCTGTAGCTGGTCCCAGTTGCAGATGGCTCGAAACGTGGGAGTAAATCTTTTGAAACAGTAAACACTTTGCCACTAGTTCCCTTAATCCGTGAAGAGTTTCCTTTGGGTTTTCATTTGTACAAATTGCTACCTCTTTGTAAAGTGTGAGCATAATAACCATCTATGATTGGTCAGTGAAGTTCTTATTAATCTCTGGCATGAAATAAACTCTGTATCTAATTTTGAAATTAGATATTATTTGCAATGATACTGTTATGTAGCTACTGCAGTGATACTGTGTTGCAATGATGTTATTTAGCGATTATTCTTAAAAATTTAGGTATGCCTGAACAGGTAAGAATTGTGTATAAAATACTTAGAATATAATTTGTAGGTAAAGGTTGTTTTGTGCAAAATTCTGGTCTTCACATTTCTCTGCCTAAATTAGGTGAAATATTTTAGTGTTTCAAACAAAGCATTGTATCTTCTACTTTCTACATTTAATTGCTCTACAACAAAGTGTTTCAAACAAAGCATTATATCTTCTACATTCTACGTTTAATTGCTCTACAACAAACAAGTTTTTGCCATGTGTTAAATGTTTACCCATCATATTTAATCACAAATTCTAAACGCAGGAATAAAGGATTTCATAAGAATGATTTCTTTCATTCCATCATAAGACGATTTTAATATTTTACTGGTGAAGAACAATATAGAAGTAGCTTGAACAGAATGGTTAACACACAGACTTTATCTCTCATTTTTATTATGAAAATCAGACACATGATTTAACATTCTTAAAAGAATCAAAAGCTCTAAATAATCACACCCAGGAACAACTTAAGCAGTCTCTTCCTTAAATCTCAGTAGTTACAAATTATTGACTTTTTTTTTTGCATTTTACAAAAATATTTATAGAAATGAATTTTTAAAAGATAATATCAACACACAGACTTTGAAGCCAGACTGCTGTGGTTCGAGTCCTGGCTTTGCCAGTTACTATCCCAGTGACCTTGGGCATGTCAGGTAACCCTCCGTGACTCCATTTCCCCATCTGAAAAATGGGGCAAACAGTAGGACCTATCTCATTGGTTTGCCGCAAGGGTTAAATAAGTTAATTAACTTACTGTATATACATCAAGTGTGTATCTATATATCGCAGAGTGTATCAAGTTTATATATATCCAGTTCATATAACCACATTTAAATACACATGGTGATCCATTGATAGAAATCACTATAAATAATAGTAAGATTAGTTATATTTTTCTGTTGATTATTTTTCTCCATCTGATAAGTTTAAAAATACATAGGTGAGGCTCTACTTTAAAAGTGGCCTCAATCTGAGAAGAAGTGTGTTTTGGGCAGTTTGTGACTTTGAAAATTGTTGTTGAACTCTTCAAAACTGTGTTTAACCGACTTGCTTTTCCACGACGCGTCCGTGTGGCCACACAGACCCGCTGCTGCGGGATTACTGGGTGTACGAAGGCTCTCTGACCGTCCCGCCCTGCAGCGAGGGGGTCACCTGGATACTCTTCCGGTACCCTTTAACCATATCCCAGCTGCAGGTGAGTGTGGTGCTTTAAATCTTTGGGAGTGGAATTCTGAGTTCAAGGTTACACGCTGTTTCTGTAGAAGGGAAATGTCTGTTCTGTGTTTTGGCCCCCTTGGGGTCCGTTCGATGGGTCACACCTTTTCAGAGGGAAGCTAAATGTCTCAAACCAGTGAAAGCAATTGCAAGGTCAAGGGATGAACAGGACCCAGCTATCATTTCTGAGCTGTATCGTTAAAGTCAGTTTTTATAGAGTAAATGGAAGTCACCGAGATAGTCAAACTTCCGATTAGTTACTCCTTCATGTGGGTTTTCCCAGGCATCGGAGAGGAGAAAGTTCCTGGAAGTAGAGTGAGAATGCTGATTGTTTCTGCATACCACACGCCGGTTTTATAGTTCCTCCTTGGCTTGCACGGGAAAATGCTGTCTGCAGAGGGGGTGGGAGCTTGAAGGAATGCTCTGGAAGGTTCTGGATTGTTCTCTTGCCGCACTTTGGTCACCTGCCTCCCACCCTGGGTGCGGAATAGGTGCTCTAAATGCTGATGCACAGTGTGTGGGGCACTGAGGTGACGTGTCCCTGGGATGTCAGCTGGTACGGCAGTATCACTATAATGTGTTTAAACAATGATTTTGATACCTTTACTACAAAAAAAAAAAAAGATGCTTTAAATGTCTCCTATACCCCAGAGATCTGTTTAAGAATGTGTTCTGGAAGGCTGTATTTTCTCTTCATGATCATTCTGAAAAGGTTTGGGTAATACTCTCAACAAATAAGCCACGTCTCCTTTAGTAACTCTTTATAAACTTTTATTATAGCCCCTATCATTTTATAAGCAGTCCAAGTTTACTGACTACCCAGGGAAGCCTTCTTTTGTTTGTCCTTAAATCGTTAAAACCCCTCTTTCAACCTTTAACAATCTCTTCTTATTTCTCTTTTCCTAAGGATCATTTTTAAAAGTTCCCCATTCAGCATCTCCACCTTTGCATTATTTTATAAACCTTGATCACACCACCTTTGGGCCTTCGTGTTTTTAATATGACAAATACAGTTCCTTTATTTATTCATTCAGAGGAGACACTATTCCTGAGCCCCAGCCGGGCACAAGGGACGTAGAGGTTAAAGCGCAGCCTCGACCCTCAGAAGGCCCACCGTGGATTTGGGGAGGTGTGATTAGACAGACAGCTGTGCTAATGGTGGTAAGGAAGGTGCTCCGGTAACATGCAGGGAGAGAACAACCCGACCCAGACTGGAATGTCCAGGGAGTAACTCCTGAAAAGTGTTAGGAGTTAGTCTAGTAAAGGAGAGGGAAGAAATTAGAAATTTGCGTCTAATGTTAAGAATAGAGCTTCAGACGAATGAGATAGATTTGGAATTTAACAGCGAAGATGATAGCTGCTGTAACAGATCCACCTCGAAGCTTCAGTGGCTGATGACAGTAGAGATTGGTTTCCAGCCGGCAGGGAGGGGAGGAGGTGGAAGGTCTCAAGGGGCTTTCCTTTGAAGGGCTGGTCCTGGGAATGGCCAGCAACACCTTTGCTTCCTTTCTGTTGGCCAGATCTCAGTCACATGGCCACACCTGGTTGCACGGGAGGCTGAGAACTGAATTCTGGCTTCATGTCCAAGAAGAAGAAATGAATTTGATGA